TTTAAGCCTGTCCCACCTGGGTGCTGCCCGACACCCTAGATACTCCGAGCAGCCAGCAATGGAAAACTTCCTTAAGTAAACAAAGATCACTGGACTCAGGTTGCACCCTGGGTACCAGCCTCAGAGGTCTGCTTCTTTGGGGTTTTCTAGGGGCTGGGCAGCTACAGTGCAGGCAGAGGCCTAATGCAGGCCACCTGGGCAGATGTCGTGCTGGGCCTGTCAACAGCATCAAGGACTATGAGCTGCCACTGAGCATGGCCTGTGTTTTCCTGTCGCACAGTTTTAACTGCCCCTCTGAGCTCCTACCCTGTCTGTACAAGTCCCTGAAGAGATGCGGCAAAAGCAAGGACAGAGAAGTTCCAGCATCCACAGGGCTGGCCGTGTCAGCCCGAGCCCTGAGTTCGGGGTAGGCCTGACCAAGTCCTACTGAGGCAGGGGCACAGCCATGGGCTGTGGAACCCAGACTCTGAGTCTGGGCATCTGTCCAGCATCCTAGTGTCCCAGCAGCTGCTGGTGTCAGCAACTGTGGCCTGATCTATCCCTGAGGACAGTCAACGCCCGTTTAAAGGACAGTGACAGGACAAACCTCGTCCCCAGGGTGGAGCCCTTCCTCCTGTCTCCCTTCATCTGCCAGTCTTGCCAATTATGTCCCACCAGCCCAGAGCACCCCACCACCCAAATGGGGCCCTGTAAGTCCAGGGTGCATGACAGGCAGCTGCTCCATAAATCAGGAGCACACTCCTTTTCTTGGGACAGTAAGATCCAGGAGATCATCAAACTCAAGACTTGATTCCAAATAAAAACACTATCCCCAAATTATCCCATTGACAGAAATCATAAAGAAGCAAAGGATCGTGGGTGGCCAGGTTAGGAAGCAGCCATGCACATCAAGGAAAACCAGGTCAGAGCTTGGTGGTGACCAGGCTGTGTGGAGAGTGCCCTTGCCTGGGCCACGGCAGTCCTTTCCAGATGCAAGCTCACGAATTTCTGGGTCAGGAGGATTTGTCTTCTGCTGTGCCTCATTCAGAATGGAGTCACACAGGGAGACCCGGCACCACTGCAGCTACTTGTGCTAAGCTCCTTGTTGCTGGGAGACCACCCTCCTTCCACACAAAGGCCCTGCAGAAGGGAGTGCCTGGACCTCTCCCTGAGATGTGCATTTCCAAACCAATGCATGCCCTTCTCAGAGCAGGCAGCAAGGCTTGTGTGCTTTTTTGCACGTGATCTTTCATTACAAAAGTAAAGTGTATACCATGAAGAAAACCAAGAAAACACGTGGAAAGTGTGGATACAGATGAGGCCACCTACTGATGGCCATTGTTGACATTTGCATGTATTTCCTTCTAGTCTTTTTTCCTTCATGGTTTTGCAGAGTTGAGATCCTAATTAACATAGAATTTTGCTCTCAACGGTTTTCTAACTTAAACCTGTTTTCCTAAGCATTTTCTCCTAACGGAAAATTTTCAAATATATAGGTAACTAGAATGTTCCCCAACCACCCCTAGAATATAAGTTCCAAAACCACATGGATCTGTGCTTGTTCTTGTTCAGTGGTGAATCCCAGGGCCTGGAGTAGTGTAGGTTCATAGTAAGCATTTAATAGATATTTGGCACATGGTAGGCATGTCATAAATATTGGTTAGATAAACGAATGATTGAATGGCTGACGTATTCTATCACTTTTTGCTGTTAGTGGTAATGCCAAAGTGAACATCTCTGAGGCGACATCACTGCCCACTCTTAGGTTGGGTGAGGAAACATTTCTTTGCTCCACACGGCAGAGCCTGCAGTGGCCTGGGGCCCAGGCTCGGACTCTGCCATAGCCACTCCTTGACCCTGGATGGTTACTTTTCCTCCCTTAGGCCTCAGTTTCTCCTCTGTGAGGGTGGGTGGCTTTGGGATGGACCCCTCCCCCAGGTCCCTTCCAGCTCCATGATCCTAATACAGCAGGCATCAAAACAAAAAATGACTCACTCCTGGTCCTGCACCCCTGTTATGGGATGAATTTTGTCCCCCCCAAATTCATATGTTGAAGTTCATGTGCAGAAGGTCACTGCAGAATGTGACTGCATGTGAAAATAGGACCCTAGGGAAGTCATTAAGGTTAAATGAGGTCATTAGGGTGGGCCCTAACCCAATGTGACACAGACAGATAGAGGGGGCCGACCATGTGAAGATGGCTATCTACCAGCCAAGGGGAGAGACCTCAGAAGAAACCAACCCTGTCCACACCTGAATCTCAGATTTCTGGCCTTCAGAATTGTCAGAAAATAAATTCTTCCACCTGGTCTACAGGACTTTGCTATGACAATAAGACACAATCCACATGCCCCTGACCACCGGGGAACTCTAACCCACCAGGCTTGCAGGTGAGCAGAAGGACACCTAAGCTCAGAGAGAGCGTGGTCCTTAGTCAAGGACCTGGTGGCCACTGGTGGCAGAGTTGGCACCACAACACTCCCCCTAATCCCCAATCTCAGGCATTTCTTACTCCAGTCACCAGCAGACAGATGGGCAGACATGGACTATGGTTTGACAAAGGTACTACCACACCACTCAGTATCATCTGCTGGGCTCACCATATGTGAGCCAGCACTGCACACAGAGCTAAGGGCATTCCTCCATACAACTGAGGAAACTGAGGCACAGGGAGCTCCCTAGCTAGGGCACTGAATTCAGATCCAGCCCTATCTGATACCATCTCCTTCCACCTTGCCACAGTATATATATGATTCTCCTGGCCACTGGAAATTAATAGGCAACTACACGGCCTGATGTCATGCCCAAGCCATCCTGAAGGCTTTGGTCAGACGAAGATGTGCCCATTGCTCCCATGGTGTAGAGGAAAAAGGGAGCTTCCAGCTTAGATGAGCTGCACAAGTTGTCTGGGGCTCTGGCCATATCATATGGGCAGCTGAAGACTGGACCAGGGGATGCTGGGCACACCCAGTGCTGCTAAGCTCTGGAAGGATGTCAGCCTTCTAGGGGATTGCTGCCCTTGGTGCCCTTGTTGACAGTGGAAGCTCCTGACCTGCCAGTTGTACACAGCACCCGGATGTTAGAGCCCAGGCACAAGAAGCCACACTGCCTGCTCCCCTTACCATAAGCGTGGGTGGAAATTATTGCCGTGGCATCACTGGCTGGAGACAGGGGTGACAGGTGTCCGGGAGAGCACACACACTGCCAGTTCTAGAGGACTGGATTAACTCAGAGGGCTGAGGTGAACTTGGCCCCCTGGCAATGCCACCCCTGGCCACCAAGGGCCTAGTCCATGTGGGGCTTCTTACATGGAATACCTTGTCCTGCCAGGCCACCAGCTCTAGTCTCTTACATGTCAGGAAACCAAGCTCGGGAGGTGCCACCAGTGCCTATAACCACTTGGCAGACATCATGGCACAAATTCTGGTCTCCTTGCTTCCCCACTCACGAATATGGAAGGCAGTGCTCCTTCTGAGGGCTCCCCGTGATTATAGGGGCTACAGAGGTACCAATTGTGGTCATTGGAGCATAAAATTACCCTGCATGCAACTAGTCATTATCCCCATCTGCTATTTAGATAAATGTATCTGGAGGTTACACCAAGTCTCAGGGTGCCCTGCTTCCCAGCCACCCCCAGTAACAAGTTGGCCATTTCAGAAATCCTTATCCAAAGGGTTCCACATCCAATAGCCTGCCACTGCTCTCAGCCTCTGTCTAAATGCCTTCTGCAGAACAGTCTTTCCTTCCTGGGCTGGGAGGGGAAAGGAAGGGGAATGTTTTCCCAGGAAGAGGGGTCCCTGCAAACATGGCCCCCTCCAGGCCTACAGTCCACAAGAAATGCTCACTAAATATACCTCCTCTCCCCAGTCTGATTTTCCCCAGGGAAAGCAGCTATCCCTACTGGTTTCCGCACCATGGCTAAGGGCCATACTGCAGTCTGTGGCAGACAGACTTAGAGGAAAGAGTACGGGAGTGAGGGAGCACCAGTTCGAATCTTCCCTCCCTCCTCCCCGAGCTAAGTAAGTGACTGAAGCCCTGTGACCTCAGGTTGCACCCTGAAAAATGGTCTGACAGCCTCTCCCTGCCTGGAAATGCTGGGACAAGCCCTCAGACTGGGCCTGGCCCCAGGAGGTTTTCAGACTCAGCCATCTTCAGGCTGTCCTTCGGAGGCTCACCTGCCAAGGCCTCCAGCTCCAGGTCTCAGTTTCCCCAACGGCACAAGGCGCGGCTGGGTTGGGGCGACGTGGGATTTTCCAGCGCCGGGTACAAGCTGTCAGATTCCAGAGGGCGGGTGCAGAGGGAGAAGCAGGGGTGCGAGGCGCAGTGGGCAAGGGGCTTGGGAAGCGATGCGCAGAGATGGGGCTGGGCCACATCTGACACATATGCGGGCTCCAGGTCCCCAGATGTGCCCGGTGTCGGCCTAAAGTCCCCTATCCAGGCAGTGGGAGCTGCGCAAGGGCGGCGCCCCCCCGCCGCAAAGCCCCGCCTGTCATCTCACCTCTCTCCGGGTCAGGTCTGCGGTGGCTCGCCCGAACCCTGGGCCCCCACCTGGACCTGGCCTCCTTCGGCAGCCTGGAGGAACCTGGATCCCATGAGAAGCAAAGAAGGGGCGCCTTCCAGACAGCCCAGCGCAGACTGGGGTCGGCGCTGGGGTCGGCGCTCCCCAGCCGGCGCCACTGAGCTGCTCGCACCCGCGCAGGGGCAGGGAGCTTCCCGCCGACCTCTCCGGGCTGCAAAACCCTACAGCAAAAGTTGGGTGGACCCATCGGACGATTTTCCTCCGTGTTGCAGGTGCACTCTCCAAATGCCACCAAGCCCTTGCAGCGCTGCGATCCTGCGTAGGGACCCGGCGGTCCCTCAGTCGCTGGCACTCACCTGCGCTCATCTTGGCAGTCGGTCGGAATCGGGGCAGTCCGGCGCTGCGGCAGCCAGACACTCGGGGCCCGCCAGGTGCCGCCAAGCCCTTGCAGCGCTGCGATCCTGCGTAGGGACCCGGCGGTCCCTCAGTCGCTGGCACTCACCTGCGCTCATCTTGGCAGCCGGTCGGAATCGGGGCAGTCCGGCGCTGCGGCAGCCAGACACTCGGGGCCCGCCAGGTGCCGCGCCCGCGCAATCCTCAGCTCGCAGCCCGCCGCCCGCGCGCCCGCCGGCTAGACGCCGGCCAGGCAGCTCCGCCGCAGCCCTGGGCTGCAGGCCCCGCCCACACCACGCCCAATACCACGCCCCTCCGTGTGGCCACACCCTTCACAAAGCCACCGACCGGGCGCACCCTGGGAAGTGTAGGCGCCGCACCCCCACTGCTCCACCTTTGCGCCCCAGCCGCCGGTGGGCGGACTACAAGTCCCAGCAGGTTCCGCGGCCTGCGCGTGCGCAGACGGGGAACGGCGGCCGAAGACCTTGGCAACCGCTATTAGGTTTCTGCAGAACTGTTGCTGCGGCCTATGGGGCTGTTTGCAGGGTTCAGCGTTCTGTTCTCAGGAGCACGGCAGTCGTGTGGAGAACGGTGCTTGATGCAAACTTGATGTGGCATTTCTTAAGTCGTGGGGATGCAAGGGGCCTGAAGACCTTCTGGGCCAGTCACCCTTCTCTCCTAGTTTACCAAGAGGGAAACTGAGGCAGGAGGCGGGGCGGGCAGGATGTGCCTGCATCCTTCAGCTACGCTTGGACATACTGGGATTCATGTGCAGGAATCTTGCCTCCAAAGCCAGACTCCCGCCTCCTGTCCAAGCCAGCCCCTAGTCCCACTGGCCTGACTGGGCCGCTTAGAGGAGGGGCGCGTCCTACCCCAGCAGCAGTCCTGCCCCAGCCCCTCCAGTGGCATGCTACCGTCGGTGACGCCTTGCTTGGGCGTGGATGCAAGAACAGAAGAGGGCATCAGGGAAAGGGCAGGAGTAAGTGGCCCCCACTGTGCACCTGTTGCTACTGAACGTGGCTGCAGAGAGGTAGGCAGGAGACAGGCTTGCACAAGTACAGAACATGGTGTGGAGGGCCTGGCCTGGAGGACCGTTTAGGAGGCAAGATGGTGAGAACTTAGCTATGCATGGGAGAAAGGGGCCAAGGGCTTCTGGGCAAGGGCTATTTGGGGATCCTTCCAATAAGGGAAAGAAGGCCCAGCACCAAAATGTAGACTCTAAATGGAATACTGAGCAGGAGCAAATACCCCTCCCTTTCCCCCAGCAGCATCCATCTACCCTAAGAGTGGCTAGGACCTGAGGCCAGGAGTACAGTGGCACCCTGGGGAGAACTGAAGCCCTGGGGAAGGAGCCCAGTCCCACACATCCCTGAAACCCAAGAGGCCCGGTTGGGTGGCTGTGCCTGCAGATGCAGAGCTCTGATGCCTTCCCACCGGGATCTGCCCAGAACATGAGTACCATGTCATGGAAGGAGCAACAGAAGGGGCAAAGTGTCCTGCCCCCAACCCAGGACCCCCACTCAAGTGGAAGAGAAGCAAGTCCTTCTCTTTGTGGGCACCAGACCCATCTGTCCCCCCTGGTTGAGAGCATTCAACATGAGCAGAGGGCACAGGGTGGTTGCCCCTGTATCTGACTGTCTTGCAGGGACCTGGCTTTTCCACCTGCTCCCACAATTGTTTAACTAACCCTGTGCCTTGGGCTTCATTGTTAGACCATCCCATCTTTAAGGACAGTGCTGAGGATCAGTGAGCTGGTGCATGCCCTGCCCCAGTGTGAGCTGAGATTTATAAATATCTTTGATATTATGCTATTATTATTATTATTTTGAGTGCCTAACATAGGACCTGGCACAGAGCAGGCACTCCACAAATATCTGCGGAATAAATGGCGAGAAGGAAAAAGAGGATGCTGACAGCTGGCACCTCTGGGCCGTGACTTGGGAGGCAGACCAGGCACCCATGTGACTGGGTGGGTCACTGGGGGTAGAACACCCCTGCTACCACTTGGCCTCTTGAGAAGCTGCTAGACTATCCCCTAACCCCCAGCCTCTATTCCTCCCTGGCAGAAGCAGCACCCCCATGTGTCTTCAAAGGCTCCTAAGAGTCCCCTAGGGGTGCTGTGATTGCCTCCACACAACCGGGTAAAGATGTCGAAGAGGTCTCCATCACTCTTCCTGGCTGAGTCCCTGTGAGTCAGAGGCTGGGGATTGTTGGCCCAGCTCCATGCTGGTCCAGAGCTCAGAATCCTGTGGGCCACCTCAGGCCTCCCAGTGGAGCCAGTTACCTCTCTGAGCGTGTACCTTCAAACTGGGCAAGGGGCCAGAGAGTCATAGCAGCTCTCAACCTGGAAGGGCCTTGGGGTCATGGAGCCCCTGCACTTTTTGACAAGGGCAGAAACCAAGACGTAGAGAGGCCCTGCCCACAGTCAGCAGGTTGGTGATGGGGGGAAGGGCTGAACCCTGGTCATTCTTCTTTCCTGTGTATGTCTGCTGAGGATGGACCTCAGGAATATTTGGTTGATTTGAATAGATTGAAGCAGACTTCAGTTCTCTGTCCACCATGCTTTGAGCCAGACGTGACCTTGGGCAACTTGCTTGCTTGTTCTGTACCCAAGAGTTTCCTTATCCTTCAAATCTTAATAAGTATCCCTTAGGATTGTTAGTTGGGTTAAAAGGGTAAATCAGCAAAACACTTCAAAGAGTGTGCACACCAAAAAAAAAAAAAAAAAGAACTCAGTAAATGACAGTTATAATTATAATTATAATTATTATTATTATTGAAACAGACCAGGGAGAAGTGTGTGCCATCACCTCCCTTAAAGGCTTGCCTTTTCTCACTGCAAGTTTCATTCATTCAACCATTCAGCAAGGATTTATTGAGCACTTTAATGTGTGGGCAATCTAGTTCTTATAAAGAAGACAAGAATTTGTTTCACAGGTCATATGATTCATTATAGAAAAATAATGCTTTCTGAGCAGCCTGAAGGGCCTTCAGAGGCCTCATGGACACAGGGAAACCCCAGACAGACTGGCCATCAAACCAAGGTCCTTTAGGTTCAATAAATGAGCATTTAGCAGAAGAGCTGGCCTTGGTGAGCCCAGATGTACAAGTGGGACCACGAGGCAGCAGGAGCTCCCCTCCTCGGGCCTCAGCCTATACCCCTACCCCCCACCAGGGACTCCCCACATTGCCCCTTGCCCCCTCCCACAGGCAGGGTAGGGACCTGAGCCCTTGTTGGCTTATCAAGTGTCCCCTGGGGCCTTTCACAAATGTTTGTTGAATATATAGAACTAACCCATCAGTTGAAAAGTTCAGCCAGTCATGATGGGTCTGAGGAATGTTTTTTCTGCCTGGGCTGAGCTAGGTGAGGCTTCCTAAAATATGAGTCCTGTGATCTGTGGGTAATGACTCTTTGTTTTCATAATAAATGACTGTGATAAGCACTGGCACCTGTCACTACTCCACAACCTTCATATTGCTTCAAAATTAGGGTAGTTTGTCTTGAAAATGGTCTTGCCCTTAGGAGAGCATGAAAGTCTTGGAGAGTATAGTGTAGGCCGCATGCAGCTTGAGGGGCTGGGCTGGACCCCAGGATATGGGCAGGGACAGATGAGATCACACTGGGTTTTGCAAGGCTGAGACAGGAGGGGTGGGACAGAGAGGGATCAAGGAGTGGTGAGTTAGAGGCTTTTTACAGGACACAGAAGAGCCTTGATTGGGGGGGGGGTGTTCATGTATAACCCCGCTGGGATCAACTCCATGCCACAGCTTGCTCAGAGGTGGAGGGAGCAAGGATGAGCACAAAAATGCACCTGAAGAGGATCCCAGCAGCCAAGCCAGCTAAAGCAAACAGCTAGTTTCCCAGCTGCCAGCCCTGCTCTGTGCCAAATCTCCGATTTTATAAATGTCATCTCAGAGGACCAGCACCATCACTGTCATTATCCCCATTTTACAGATGGGAAAACCAAGGCATTACCATATCCACTTGTAAACTATGTTCAAGTGGAACAAGTTAGATGCAACCCAGGACCTTCTGAAGAAAGAGTGGGTAACTCAGGCACCAGGCTGGTTGTCCTGAAACTGTCATCCTTCCAAATGGTGTTAGAGAGGTAGATGACAAGGCTAAGAGCACAAGGTGCATGGCTGGAGGGGCCTACCCCATTGGCCCCAATCTATGCCAGGCACCGTGTTCCCCTGGCTGCTGGGGGTGCCCTGTCTTCTCCTGGATGGTACAGGCTCACCTATTGAGATTCATTTTGGGAGAAGCCTCCCCAGCCCTGCATTCTGTGGTCTTATTGGCCACCACCATACCCCTCCACTTTCTGGAGTTTTGTTCCTGCCTGGCTCCCTCCAGACCCCAGCGCTCTCAGGCAAGGCTTCATCTGACACATCCCGGGGACTCCAGTGCATTGGAGAGGGGGCCTGAGCACCTTGGGGTTCCCAGCACAGAGGGGAGTAGCCAGTAACCTGTAAGATCAGCCAGTGTCTGAGCTGAGGTTCCTGTGAACACCCTGCCCAACTCCTTCCCTCATCACTGACCTGTCCATGGGTTTGCCCAGGCTTCCTGAATTGCCTCCATAGACAGCAGCAGTGTGGCTGGGCTCACCTGGGGCTTGATCTAGAAAGAAGGTGTCCCCCTGGAAACTTGGCTATGCAGGAATCCAGAAAGTCCAAGACACGCGGAAAACAGCAGAGGCTGCTGGAAGCCCCACTCAATAAGGGAACTTCCAGGAGTTCTCACACCAAAGCTGCAGGCAGCTTTGTCCTTCCTTTACCTCCAAATACAGCCCAAGAATTGATTTACTTTACAGCCAAATGGTGAAACAAATGAAATATGATTTCATTGTGGGATCTTTCTAACCGCTCAATAATTTAAAATCCTGCCATTTGAAACCAAGAGTAAAAATAGCACGTGACTTGCAGCTCATAGCCTGCCTCTGACACCCAGCAGCACACACCTGCACCAGCAGCCATATCCTCCAGGGGCATCAGACGGAGGCTGCTGCCCTGGGTCACACACTCACAGGTTCTCTGTGCTGGCCAAGTCTGTGCCACAATCTTGACTGCCCAGTTAATTATGAGTGGTTTGTAGACCTGGCAATGTTTTACCATAACAGAAAAATTTTGAGTGATGGTT